ATCTGTTGGAGAAGCATCAAATCTCTTTTCCAACATCTCAGCTCAGAAAGTAGTTGATAGAGGCGGAGTAAACTCTAGGAGTTGAAAAACTTTTCAAGTGGCTGTCCGGCTTAGTGATCAAGGAAGCCAGCTTGAAGTAATTTGTACTAAGAGTGATAGTGCAGACCCTTTCACGAGTTGTGAAAGAAGAGTGGAGTAGGCACAGTTGGCCGAACCACTATAAAAATCTCTCTGTCTCTCTCTCTCTTTACTTATCGCTTTTACTCTCGTGCTCTGCATATCATATCATATCGACCAAACGCATTATCTTTATCAACACGAAAGAGTGCAAAGAAAATTTAACTTAAAACAATATTTCCGCTGCACATACCTCCGAAAGGAGAATAATCGAAAAAGAATCGATTAGAGTCTATTCACCCCCCTCTAGACTCTCTCTGACCCTACTGGGACCAACACATTCATCCAAATCTCATTAAAAAAAAAAAAAAACAAGAAAAAAAAAAACAAACAAACAAACAAATTAAACAAACAAAATAAAAATAAAAAAGCCAAATTTCTTCTTGAAAACTGGGCATGTTTGGAGAGCAAATTTCTACATTTATAGGTATAATTTTTATCATATGAAAATAATTGAGGATATTGATTGAAGATTTATTTGTATTATTCGGTGATTTTTTTTTTATTCTGCAAAACACTGCATTATATTTGTACATCTTCATTCTAATGAGGGTTTTACAGACCATCTCCATTCTACCATGTTGACAATATTAGAAACCTAAAGAGTTTTTAGTAAGGAATTTCAGTTTCCATAAAAGTTTTATTAATTTTGTGTTAGCATATTTTGACAAAACAAATCTAGATTATTTAGAAAGTTTGCCTAAATTAAAGTTGTTTTTTTGCGTTGAGAAGTTGGCAAGATCAAAACATACCTTCCTAAATCCTTTTTGATTAGGAATAAAACCTTACTGTGATTGAATATATAACCTGAATCCTATACCTTTTAGGATTAAATTCCAAACAATACAACTATTTATGCAGATTTACATACTATTTCCTAGACAGCAACCTTTGTTCTCATCGAAATTCCAATTCATATATCTTCCTTGTCTTCACCAACATTCTTTTTGTCGCCGTATACAAACAATTTTTGTGTCTCAATGGATTCTGAATTTTATCTCAATAATGACATGCTTTCTGAGATTTTGTCTCTAACAACCTTGGAAACGCTAGATAGATGCAAGCTTGTTAGCAAGGAGATAAAAGAGTTAATTGAAGACTCGCGGTTCTTGAAAAATTACATTCGAAAGACCGAGAATATCATTGGATATTTTGTTCAAACGCTCCAATTTGGTTCGCGAGTTTCTACATTTGTGTCCATTGACCCAACCTTGAGGGTTCCAAATATATCTATGAAGTACTTCGGGGATGACCTAAGGATCTTGGCATCTTCCAACCAAGGAATTTTGTGTTGTGAAAAGTCAAGGGATTATTTTGTTTGTAAGCCAAGTACTAAACAATGTGTTGTGTTGCCTAGCCCCAAGGGACAAAGAATGCCCTTCGAACTAGTTGCTTTGATAATTCTTAAATCAAATCCCCTTCAGTACAAAATAATCAGATACCCACCCACGTGCCCGTCATTGGTAAGTTTCTTTATTTTTTACAATATTATTACAACCATAACTTAGCATTTTCGCGCGTTATATTATACTTCTTGCAATATATAATTCTAGTAATGGTAAATTAATGTTTTTATAATTTTTTAATTCTCAGGCTACTTGGAAAAAAAAGTCACAAATGTGAGATTTTCGATTCAAAAATTTGGTCATGGAGACAGTTAGAAAACCTCGTAACGGAACAATTCATGTTTTTTAACAATCAACCATCTGTTTGTATAGGAGACGAGCCTATTGGCTCATGAACCGCAACACAATTTTGGCTTTCGATTCAGCAACCGAAACTCACTCAGAATTCCAAGGACCAATAGTCGAAGACAACAGAATCTACGATCATGAAAGAATTGTTGAGTACAATGGGGAAGTTAGGATTTGTACACAAGTACAAATCAGATGAATTGTGGGTTTGGGGACTAGAAGACAGAAAAAATCACAAGTGGGAGATAAAGAGAGTTGTGGGAATCGATAGTTAGAAGAATAGGTTGGTAGGGTGTAATCTTGCAGACATGGCATTGATGATGGGGTATAGAGATCAAGTGTACGTAGAGAGTGGTTTATTTTCCCTTATAGATATTTTCCCGTTCCGGTCGAATTGGGAGCTCGTGGATCTGGAGGATGGATGCATGTTAAATTGCTTGGAAGAGATGATGACCGGTTAGCTTTATCTCATTAATGCATAATTTTCTACAGTTTGTATAGTTACATAATTCATGCTTTTGGAGGGCAAAGACACATTCCATTGCAAGATATGAGTTAATGTAATAATAAGTTAATGTATTATTAATGCATAATAAGCTCATGTAAGATATGAGTATTTTCAAAACAAAATCCCAATCAAAGTGGACCAAAAAACGACCATTCCTATCCTCTTTCTGTAGTATCAAACACGGGAGAAGCAAAAAACAAAAAATCTAGTGCTCAATTGTTGCAGTTGACAAGGCAGAGAGATAGTAATGGTGAAAGCTTGACCAGCAGATTGTATCAGTGATTTGTATTACTTGTCTAGATTAGCGTTAACATATAAATTAACCTATACAGGCATACATTTTCAAAAAAAAAAAAACCTATACAGTCATACATATAAGAGAAAAGGGTCAAATAAACCCCTGAACATTATACAAGAAGGCAATTAGACCCCTCAATTTTTAAAAGTAGCAATTAAACACATTAACTTTTAATTTTTGTGCATTTAGACCCAAAAACATGATATTTACCTGTAAATGCAGGTAATCTCTTATGTGACATCATTTGAGCTTGCCACGTATGCAAACTTTAAAAAAAAAACATTTATTAAAATTAAAAATCAAAATAAATAATAATAATAATAATAATAATAATAATAATATAATAATAATAATAATAATAATAATAATAATAATAATAATAATAATAAGTAAATTGTTGGTCCAAGTAGGGTCAAAAGAGAGTCTAGAGGGGGGTGAATAGACTCTAATCGATTTACCAAAGCGACTCCTTTCGGAGCAATGCACAGCGGAAATAGTGTTTTGTTTTAGATATTCTTTGCACACTTTCGTTATAGTGAAAACTTAGCGTTTGGTCGATATGATATGCAATGCACGAAAGTAATATAGCTGAATGTAAAGAGAAATGGAGAGAGATTTTTATAGTGGTTCAGCTGTTAACAAAGCCTACTCCACTCTTCTTTCACAACTCGTGAAAGAGTTTGCACTATCACTCCTAGTACAAACTACTTCAAGCTGGCTTCCTTGATCACCAAGTCGGGCAGCCACTTGAAAGGTTTTTCAACTCCTCGAGTTTACTCCGCCTTTATCAACTTCTTCCTAAGTTGAGTTGTTGGAAGGATAATCTGATGTTTCTCCAACGGGTTGAAGTTTGGATGGATCTTCACTTGAGAAATTACAAGACTGCTTCAAGTTGTGAAGTATGGAGATGAATATGTCTTTGAAAAACTTCACAATATCTTTGGTTATGAAAAGCTTTTAGGATATGAGACTGCTTGAAGAGCTTTTCTTTGGATAGCAAGAGTATATTAACCAGCACCTTCTTCAATGGAGAAGAGAGGTATTTATAGGTGGAAAAATTCATCCGTTGGAGGGAGATGAAAATTTCAAACCTAATAACCAGTGAATATTATCCATTGGGTATTTAATGCACTTGTACTGTATAGCCGTTAGAGCCAAAAGTATTATGGCTTTTGTCCTTGATCTCTGACAAAATGGTACAAGTCTTTTAATGCTCCTTGTCTTTTGTGAAGATCATTCCTAGGACACTTTTTGTCCGAATGATTTGCCCATCTGAATCATAGACAACATTCCCATTGCTTCACTTAATGAGTGTTGTCTTTTACAAGTCTGTCTTTGACTTGCTTGGTCGAAAGATTGACTTATATTTCATCCTTTCTTCTTAGACGAAGGTTCCTTTTGTAAAAGCAGTCTATCCGAGACTTACTTAATCATTCTTTCGTCTAGAAGCATCTTTCGATCACCTTGTTATCTTCAAGTCTTCATGTAGATATATTATGCTAGTTTCGGGCAGGATTTATACACCTCATAGGTTTGTTATACGAGACTTATCTAAGAAATAAAAAATAGGGGTCTACAATCTAAGACAGTTTGGTATCATCAAAATCTAAATACACTTGTTCCTAACATAAATAAATATTTTCTTGCCACGAATGCCCACCGCCCTGTGTCGTTCGCCGCCGCCGATTTGCTGGCCGGCAGCCAGAGAAGAAGAAGGCAGCCATGGCCATGGCTGCCTTCAACCTCTCTCTCTCTCTTTTTTTAATCTTTCCCTTCTTCGTCTCCAGATCTGGAGACGAAGAAGGAACCAAGAATATGGCAACCATGGCTGCCTTCAAGCTTCCACATCTTTAAAAAAAAAAAAAAAAAAAAATCATTCCCTTCTTCGTCTCCAGATCTGGAGACGAAGAAGGGACCCTTCTTCATCTCTAGATTTGGAGACGAAGAAGGAGGAAGAAGGCGGCCATGGAAGTTGGCCATGGCTGCCATTAACTGGGGGAAGGGTTTTTCTTTCTTTTTCTTTTGTTTTTTTTTTTAAATTTTTTTTATTTGTTTAAAAATATTAAATATTATTTTATTAATAAAAATGACACGTATGATGCCACATAAGAGGTTACCTACATTTACAAGTAAACATCCGATTTTTGGGTTTAAATGCACGAAAGTCAAAAGTTGATGTGTTTAATTGCTACTTTTAAAAGTTAAGGGGCCTAATTGACTCCTTGTAAAATGTTCATGGGTTTATTTGACCATTTTCCCTACATATAATAATAATAACAATAATAAAATAAAACAAGGGGAGTAGCCCGCTGCTCCCCTTTTGTTTTCCCACTTTCCCACATCGGTGGGAAAAGTGAGAATGGAGCCTTGAGGGCTCCTATATTGCTTGACCATTCATTGCGGGCAGCATTTTGAGGAGCCAAAAAGGCTAAGAGCCTTAAAACTCCAAAATGGCAGATTCGTCATTTACCAAACAAGGTCAGAGTCGATGTATTCTTTGACAAGTTGGCCAGGAGAATTGATATAAGCATCCTTAAACTTCATGGATTTGGCATGTTGAGCCCTTAGTTAAGATGTTCTGCATACATTAATGTGACCTGTATTACTTAGAAAACTGATATTACAAAACCTTGGTTTTAAAATCAGATATACCTAGAAACCCTTAGTCTCTTAGAACACTATAGCAAGCTGCCAAGCCCTATGCAAGCAAGTAGAAACAAGCTAATTAAGACATTAAACCAAAATGATATTATATAGCAGAAAATGTTTCCTCTTAATTGCTACCTTAAAGGGGGCAAAGAAATTATATCACACAAAGATCAGTTCTAGAAATTAATTGCTACTTTAAAGGGGGCAAACAAACTTGACACACAAAGATCAGTTCTAGAAATTAATTGTTACCTGAAATGGGGAAAACAAATTAGATCAACTGCAGAACATTTTAAAAAATTAAATTAAAACTTACAAACTGTGAAAGCGCTAGCAGAAAATGTCCCCTCACCAAGGTTGCTACATGATGAATACAACTGTAATTCATGAGGATAATGGCATGGAGGAAAGTAATTTTTTTAGTCATCATCTGACACAATATTGGTACAAGATCACCAAACTGTTTTGTGGATAGCATATACTCTAGAACCTGAATTTATGAACTCAAAACCCCAAGGGAAGAAAAAATAGCAACTTCTATTCTTTCTAGTTATAGGCTAAAAGAACCACATGGATGGATAGAAGATTTAAACAAGAAAGCATATGAAAACATAAACCAAATAAGAATACAAGAAAAATTAAAATTAGCTTAAAGATAAAAATTACATGCATACCACAAAGACCCTGTTATTTACCTTAGCTTCTCAGCATACAATTCCACAGTATTCTCCTCAAATATGAATCTCTTTTGCACAAATGATGTGAGTTCCCTACACCTTCCTTTCTCGCCTACAGCTACAGTGACAAATACAACCCAAGACATCAATACTACATAATGAATCTGCATAACCTCCCAGACTCAAACCCGTGACATGGCTCTGATACAACTTGTTAGATCAAACGCTTACCGTTACGCCAAAAGCTATAGCTTCCAGCAAAGGCGCATCCTTATATACCGCCACCACATTTTCGAAGGGCAGGGTGGTCTCCGCCCAACAAATCCCTTTTAGAAAGCTTTGAGATGTATGCACATTGGACTGTGTACCTCAATGCTCATTTAAGTATTACCACATCCACACTTTCAAATACAAATAAATGAATATCATTGGAGTGTGGCCTGATCATCAATGACATTTATGACCTTTAAAAACATCACAAGTACCAATTACACAATACAATTCAGTCCATAGGTCAAACTATTCAAAAAGAAAAATAGAAGACAGAAAATAGTTCTAAAATCTTGGCAATAGTGCAAAAACAACAGTAATCAGCATTATAAAATTTGAAACATTAAAATAGCAGGAAAACTACGACTTCTACACGTTCATGTGCGCAAATAGTTACCAATCAGACTTCATGCTCTGAATATATAGAAATTCATTTCAAACAACAAAAAAAAAAGAAATGGACGTTTAGAGAGACAAATCACCAAGAACATTCTGAGTGCGAGTGGCTCTTATGATGATCTCGGTTCTCATCGGAATGACTCTGACCTCCGATGTAACAAAAACTATGAACATAAACTCGCGAAAATTAACAATATATATTACATATCGCAAATGCTGACCTGTGCCCTAGGGTTTTCTCTTCTGAGTAGCCATATTGGGAGGAGGAAAACAACAAACTCCGACAAGATCCTACCCGCAAAATGAGCTCTACCGGGGATTGAGATTTTGGAGTTGAAACTGTTGACCTGTGTCCTAGGGTTTTCTTTGATGCCACAGCATTAGCTTCGATGCAAGTGAGAAGATCTAACTGACAACGTTCACTTAATACTGTAGACCTGCTCTTTTGTAGTTTTGTATTAAGGACTCATCTATTCAAATAATGTGTGTAGTTTTAGGCTGTGTTTGGAAACCCAAAAACTATTTCTGAAAAAATTATTTCTGAAAATTATTTTTCGAGTTTTTAGTGTTTGGCAACATTTGGAAAATTCAGTTAACGGAAAACATTTTCCGTTGACTGGGTTGGCGGAAGTCATTTTTCGCCATTGCTGTTTCATTTTTTTAAAGGTTTCTATGGTTTCTGAAAACCATAGCTATGGTTCCGGCGGAAACCAGTTCCGCCGGAAACCAAACGGATACCCGAACTTTCTTTCTTTTTTTTAGTTTCAAACATATAAAATGTATTTTTATATTCTAAATAAAATAATTAAAATATTTAATTATACAATTCTACTCATTTTCCAGAAAATGAACCAAACACACCAAAACAGTTTTCCAAATGCAACCAAACACTGGAAAAGGAAAATATTTTCCAAAAAATGACTCATTTTCCAGAAATCATTTTCCAAAAGTCATTATCCTGCTTTCCAAACGGACCCTTAATATATTATATAGTAATTAAAATTAAAATATATTTTTTTGAAAGCAAAAACGATTCATTAAGAGCTCACAAGAGCAGCAATACAAGAGGGCGGGTAAGAAAACCACGACCCTAGGACAGACGAGGAATCAGTCGCCCGTGCAAGCACATGAGCCACGTGATTCGCTGACCTCTTGACATGGTGAACCTGCACGTTCCCTATGTCACTAGCAACCTGAATACATTGCTTTACAATCGACCCTACGTATGAAAAATCAGAATGCCGGGAATTAAAAGCAGTACAGAAGATCAAACAATCAGTTTCTACTATTATGTTATTAAAACTAAAACTCCGTAGCCAGCTTAGCGCTTTTTCGACCGCATGCGCCTCTGCTAGTAAAGGGTCACGAATGCACCCTAGTCTTCCGCTTTGAGCTGCAATGAAGCGTCCTTCGTGGCTGCGAACAACTGCACCAAAGCCTCCCCCCCCCCCCCCCCCATCACCGAAGAGAGCGGCATCCACGTTGCACTTCATCCAATCGTGTGGTGGTGGTGACCAGAGGGTGGTGGATGAAGATGGTAGTACCATACTCCTAGGCGTCTTCCTTGTAGATTTCCAGAGAGTTTGTAGTGCCTGCAATTGGTTGGTTGGAGCCACTGATGATTTCGTCTCGTCTCTCTACACTTTGTCATTACAGGTGTTCCACATTATCCAGAAGATAGCTGCTAGGCGTACCGCCTGATCCACGGTTGCAGTTCCCAGAGTTGAATCCATGAAATCCAGTAGAGTCCTACCGCATAGGACGTCATCGTCCTCCCAAATCCGCATGTCCACAACACACTCGCACAGCAAATGCTCCATCGTCTCCGTCGGAAAGTCACATAACGGACAACCCCCTCCGACCCATACTCGACGTAGCTTTAAAGTTTCTTTGACTGGTAAGATGCCCCGAGCGCATCTCCACAGGAGGTTTTTCGCCTTGGGCGGCACTGGCAGACTCCATAGTCGGCTCCACGCCGTGAACCTTCCAACAGGACCGCCAGGTGCTTCTGGGTGCATGAGTAATTGATAGCCATGTCGGACCGTGTACATGCCGCGAGCATCGCCAAGCCACCGCCAGGAATTTGGAAGGGAAGGTGACAAGGGTGTGGCCATAATTCTAGGTACATCACTGTCCAAAAATAAATCACATAACACATCTTCATCCCTTTCGCCTTGCGGCGTTAACAGGCCAGCCATCGTCGCCTCCTTTAGTTGCTCGACGCAGGGCGTGTTCAGGGATGGGGAGAATGGGTCAGCTAACCACGGGCAACCCCAGATCTTGGACACTAAACCGTCACCAATCCGACGAGCAGCTCCGAACTTTAGGAGAGATTGCTCCGCCATAATGCTCCGCCACAAGTAGCTCGGATTGCCCCCAAGTTGTGCTTCCAGGAAAGTGCCGTGTGGATAATACTTCGCTTTTAGTAGTCGGCCAACCAATGAATCGGGATAGATCATTAGTCGCCAACCTTGCTTTGCCAAGAGGGCCACATTAAACTCGTGGAGTCATTTGAAACCCAGGCCGCCATGCTTCTTCGGTAAACAAAGGCGAGTCCAGCTTAACCAATGAATTCCTCTTCTACCCGATCCGCCACCTCCCCACCAGTATCGATTGAACAACTTTTCAATAGTTGAACAAACACGCTCAGGCAATAGGAAGACTGGCATGGTAAATATGGGTAGAGCCTGAGCAATGCTTTTTAGTAAAACCTTTTTTCCTGCCCTTGATAGAAGCTTCTGTTACCATCCACCGATTCTCTCCCGCACTCGTTGTTCAATGTAATGAAAAGTAGCCGACTTATTACGGCCTAACACCGAAGGTAGGCGCAAATTGCAATCCAAATCGTTGGTCGCACGGACCCCCACACACCCCACCACTAGAGCCCTTGTATTTGTGGTGGTATTTGAACTAAAAACAGCATTAGACTTCTCATAATTAATTACCTGCCCCGAGGTTGCACTGTAGGTGTCTAGACAATCTTTGATCTTTTATGCTTCGGTGTGAGTAGCTCTAAAAAAGAGCATGTTGTCGTCCGCGAAAAACAGGTGCGAAATGGATGGTGCCCCCCCTCGCGACCCTGACACCGTGGATGTCACCACGGCCCTCGGCCTGTTACAACAGAATAGATAGGCCTTCAGCACAGAGAATAAACAAGTAAGGGGACAATGGGTCCCCTTGCCGAATGCCTCGAGTGGGACAGGTCGTCTCCACGGTCTCACCGTTTACCTGGATGTGATAAATCACGGATGTAACACCCATCATAAGTAAAGTAGTCCAGTCACGATCAAAACCCAACGCCGTCAGCATGCCCTCCAAAATTCCCACTCCATCCAATCATAGGCTTTGGCCATGTCGAGTTTCAGAGCAGTCCATCCCGTCACCCCGCTAGTCTTTCTTCTCAGGTAATGGCTTACCTCCCCGGCTACGATGATGTTATCTGTCAACAATCTGTTGGGTACAAATGCGCTTTGAGAAGCCAAAACAACACTGTGGAGCACTTCTTTTAACCGGTTTGCCAACATTTTGGCGAGCACTTTGTACACTACATTGTAGAGAGCAATCGGACGAAGATCAGAAACCTTCTCGGGGATATTCTTCTTGGGGATCAGAACGATATTGGAATCGTTGAGGCCATGTGGTAGCCTTCGATTCACAATGCAATGCATAATAAACATTGACAAATCATGGCCAACAACAGGCCAAAAGTGATGATAAAAAGTAGGCGACATACCGTCAAGACCCAAGGCTTTCTCCGGGGCCATCGAGAATAATGCCAGCTTGACTTCGGCCACAGTGAACGGCAGCGCTAAGGTAGTGTTCATCTCGACCGTTACCCGACTTGTGACCCGATGAAATATATCCAAATTGATGCCCGTGGACTGGAAGATATCCCTGTAATACCGCATTAACTCAGAGTTCATCTCCGTTCCCTCTAACCAATGACCGTCATGACCATTCACCCGTAATAAAAGATTACTCCGACGACGAGCCGACGCTGCCTTGTGGAAATACTTAGTGTTGAGATATCCGTGTTGTAACTAGAGCTGCTTCGACCGTTGCTTCCAGAATAGTTCTTCTTGCTGTAGTAGTGACATCAACTCACCCTCGCCTGTTATGTAGTCGATAACATCCTGCTGATCACAGGAGTCCCTAAGGGCTTCCAGTTTCCTGCGAAGTTGTTTCACCTGGGAACCAAAACGTCTGAAATACTCCTCTCCCCAACGTCCCAAATGCCGACCACACTCATTGATGTGTTGCTGAAAGTCCATCCCAATAAACTAACTCCACACCTGATCGACCACCTTGTGACAACCCTCTTCATGCAACCAAGCAGACTCGAATCTGAATTTCCTCTTAGCAGCTCGGATAGTCCTTGATTCCAAGTTGATATAGATGGCAGTATGGTCTGAAGACAACGTCAGAAAGTTACGAACCACTGCAGCCTCATAAATGTCCAACCAACATGTAGTCGCCACAGCCCTGTCAAGCCGCTCCTCTACCCACGCTGTCGTGCCGCGTCCCCTCTCCCAGGTGAAGCGATTGCCTGACATGCCTAAGTCGAGAAGCTGACAATCAGTTAGAGCGTCATTAAAGCCTTCGATGAGTGACATAGGCTACGGGTGCGGTCCACGTTTCTCCGATAGGCAAGCAACATCGTTAAAATCGCCGATGGTTACCCAAGGAAGATCGGAATGATCCTTGAGCTCGCGGAGGAGATTCCAAGACAACTGCCTTTTTCTTTAATCCGGGTTCCCATAAAAGCAAGTGAGACGCCAATCTGGTTTTCCCGGTAAGGAGACAATAACATCAATGTGACTAGAAGAATAACTGAGCAAAGAGGCCATCGTCGAATTGAATCTCTCCAAAGAAGTGCTAAACCGCCACACATACTTGTGCGTTCTACACACAGTAAACCCTCGTAACCCAACCTTAATCTGATTCGTTCAACTTGTAACGTAGTAGCTTTCGTTTTCATGAGGAAAACGAAACTGGTTGTTGTCTGGACACTAAGCCCAGTAATTCTTGAACTGTCCGGTCACTACCCAACCCCCGGCAGTTCCATCTCAAAACACTCATTGCGTAGGGCAAGCCTGGACTACCAGACCCACCAGAGACATGTTTTTTGGGTTCTCAGCCATGATCACATCATCCACCGCACTTCCCTCCCTACGCCTCTTCAAATCACCCTGCAGACCGCTGGTCTCTTCGATAGCCACCACATTCTGAGCCGCGGTTACCGGGCTGGAAACATGCGACACTGTCACGGTTTGAGGGAGTTCCAGCAGCAGCCACTTCGCCCCGACTGGCCTGACCTGAGCCGAGCCCTTGCCCGCATCCAAGCCCCGTAGAGATATGCCTTCGGCCCGACCCCCTCATCATAAACTTTCTTGCAAAACATATCGAAGTGCCCTAACACCCCACAGTAGAAACAAAACGTACCT